TTGGCACATGATAACACATGAGACCAGAGCTACAAAGTTGCTTCTCCCCCATCTGCTTCCCAAGTGACTTCATCAAAATCTTTCGGGACAGTGTATTTGTTCAAAAATGCGCTTATAACACTAGTGATGTTTGGTAGAGGAACCGTTGAGACTGTGAGTTTGAACTTTCAATGAGAGTGATGTTTAGGGCTATTCCGAGGTGCCATTGTTGCTGAATAACTCAAAGGAAAATAAGGCTTCGATGCTACAAGAGAGCTCGAATATTTATGACCCTAAGCTCGGCTTGATTCATGCTTGTTGCCCCATTCACATTATGGATTGGTAGACTGAGCGAGCGAGGTGGCATGCTTACCGCGCGTGCGTTTCGGAGGACAAACCACGGGGCGGCTCTCGCACATGCCTGCTCTTCTGCTCACCGGGGACAGTGAATCGGCGCCACATTCACGTGGGAGGATAAGGACGTTTATTTGTACACCTGCTGGCCTTCACAAGTCATTGTGTGGGCCACACCGCATTCAATAAGCCCTTAAGATTCCGAATGGAAGAAGTTAAAAAAAAGATGTATGTATTGGTGATGACCCTTGCTTCTTATTAACAGTCACGTTTTATTACTCCCTTTACCAAAAATATAGCAACAAGTAGAAGTAACAGGGTAATATAGCAGCAATGTACAGCGAACTTCAGAAGTTTGAGTATCAGTAGCAGGTAGACGAAAACGTGGCGACGGCAGCTCGGGAGTTGCAGGAGCGTTGCAGGAGATGGGGTTAAACGGCAGCTTGTTGAGTCGGAAGACTCGAGACGAAGACTCTGACTTTTGAAATCCGACGGCCCCTTATATAGGCCGCTTTCGCACCCATATCGACGAGTGACTGCTTTGGCGCCCTCCTCGTGCTCTCCTCGATCCTCCCGCGCTTAATCACAATTTGACATGCCCAAAACAAACAAAATGTGAACAAAAAAATACATGGCTCCACTCCATGTTATGGTGAGGAATCACAAAAGAACTACTCAAAGCTCCTGCAACTTCTGGGCTGCTGCCCTCATTTTATCTCACAAACGACAAGCCTTTTCCTATGTTTCCGGTTCCCCGAACCAGAGGCTACCTCCCTCGAAGGAGCCGGCTCTCCGGACCCCTTCTTCCTCTGCGCTCTAAACGGGGTGAGCTTCAAATCCTCCAACTCTAACATAGGCTGCAGTTGGCTCCGCAGGAACTTATAAAAAGTACGAGTAGCATCTTCACTCATCCATTCCTCTGCGTTTTTCAGCACTCCCACCGCGGCCCAAGCCGCGTGGGTATCAACTACCCCCACAGTCTGCTGCAAAACGTCCGATATGAGTGGCGCGTGCTCTGGCCGACCCGAGATGTAGCTGAGCAGTGGCTTCTCATCTTTAGCGTGACGTGTTCCCAACTGACGTAATCGTCGTTCGAAGTCCGTTCACGATATATACACGTGTGCCACAGGTCGCCCACAAATCAATGGCTGAGATGACAGCAAGCCACGCGGTGATCTTTCGAGGCTCTTCAGGAGGCATAACCAGTACAACCGATCCCAAATCATCAGTGAAGAGGTGATCGAACTTCGTCTTGACTGACGAGAAATCCAGGTAGTAGAATACACGCGTGCGGGAACCACCCCTCATCCACGCCATTCGTCGGAGAACCACGGGTACGATATAAGGATACGATCGTGAACTCTAGCCATCATTGAACTCAAGTCGAACTCCTTCGGATCCACTTAACGAGCAGTCAACCAGCCCAACTCGAAAAACCTTTTCGGCAGCTCTGGCCATCCTCGCGACAAGGAACCATGCCTCATTATCGTTGCCGGCTCGATCGCTCTCGCCATGAGGCTCACGTGGACACATTTACTTCTGAACACGGCGTACGCGAAGCCAAGCGATCGAGGGTCAACTGCCTTATCGTCCAAGTCCATGATGCGCTGAGCTTCCAGCGCAGCCGACGCAGGCTGCATCCAGATCGAAAACACTCTTGCAGCCTCCAAAACGCATTCTACCGGCAGAGCCTTCGCGGGATGTGGCAACGCTGAAATCAGATCTCCAGCCGTCATCGTCTTCGACACACAACAATCTGACAACGCGAAACTCGGCCCTCCTTTGATTGACGGAAAGTCCTGGCCATGGCATCTGAATTGAACGTGCAGGGCGTGGGTGTCGTCCGGAACGTCAGACTCCAGCTCCGGCCTGAAATACTCAAAATAAGGTTTGAACACGAAAATTTTCAAGACTCTCTTCACTTTCTTTCGCCTAGTCTTGGTGTTCACTCTTTCGTTCGGGATTTTCTCTGGGCACTTGAGGAGCAAATCATTTATTTCTTTTATGGCATCCTCATTGCTACCTATCTTAGTAATAAGCTCCGATATTTCGTCAGTTTGCAACACGCGATATGGGCCATCCCAGTCCACAGTCAGTTTGGGATGTTTCCCTCGCACCGTCTCGCGCGGCAATCTCATGAATACTCTTCCTCCCACCGATGGAAGGGAGGGGACGTCCACGTCCTTTCGTCGATCATACACCTCCTTCATTTTAGCCCTGTATTTTTCGCTATTGGCTCGTACCTCATCCCTTATCAACTGTAGCCCTCTAAGCAACTCTGTCCTGTAGTCGTCGACAAAAACCTTATACTTAGAGACATCAGCGCTAGGGATTGTACAGGAAGGCATGACCTGGTCGAACCCATGTAGGATAAAGAAGGAACTTTCACCCGTAGCCTCATGGGGTGTAATATTATACGCATACACGACATGGGGTAGCATCACATCCCATTTATCGGGGAACTCCACCTTTTTTTCAACATCCTCTGTATGGTTCCAATCGCGCGTTCTTTAACCCCATTCTCTCTCAAGTTATAGCCTTTCGTCACTGAATGCTTAATTCCTGCAACCTCAGCTAGTTCATTCAACAAGAGTTTAGGAATTCGGTGCCCTGATCAGTGTAGATTTGCAGGGCCAACGCCCTCCTTCGCAGATCCAGCGATGGAACAAAGTGGTCGCAACTGTAGCAGCACTTTTATCGGGCATTGCGTACGCACCTACCCATTTCGAAAAATGATCGACCACTACAAGGACATATTTCATACCTTACAGACTGGTGCCCATCCAGTGTGTCAGCTGCGACTATTTCGAATGGTCTGCCTGTTACAAGGGGCTTAATCGGAGGAATCATACGCTTGTGTGGGTTCGTCAGCAGGCAGTTAGTACAGCCTCTAACCCAGCGGTAAATATCGCGATGCATACCGTCCCAAAACACAAGCTTTCTCAGTTAATCGAGCATCTTTTTAGCGGAATGATGTCCTGCTAATGAGCCACTATGGTATTCATCGAAGATGTCTTTCCTCCGTTCTCTTGGAACAACCACAACAGCGTTCCCATCTTCCAACAGGAACTTCAACTGACCATTTTCCAAAACAAAATCAGCCGCTTTGAGTGTTTTTCGCGACGACTGTAATTTCATCTCTTTGTCAAGGTTTACCTCCTCCAATACGACGATGATCGGCCCATACTCGATATCATCGCGTAACTCATCTAGCCATGTCGAAGCTTCTTTTGCTTCAATGCTGCACACTACTTTTTCTTCCGCAAAAAGGTCTTCCAATTCTGGCGTATTAATAGGTACACCTCGCGATAGTGCATCAGCAACTGGGTTTGTTTTCCCTTTCACATGCTCAATCGTCAGCCGGTACTGCTGAACTTCCAGAGCCCATCTAAGTATGCGCGGAGAAACATTAGTTCTCCGAAATATCGCTGTCAGCGGCGCATGATCCGTTCTCGCGATCGCTTGCATGCCGTAAATGAAGAAGTGGAACTTCTTCAAAGCGAACACCAAGGCGAGCGCCTCGAGGTCAGTAACATGATAGTTCCGCTCTGCTTTTGTCAGACGCTTTGATGCAAAGTATATTGGATGGAGAAACTCATCCAGTCCTTGCTGGCAAAGCACAGCTCCTACGCCCATTTGCGACGCATCCGTATAGATTATGTGAGGGTTCTTTCCTGTCTGACCCCCTTCTACGTCAGGTTGCGCCAACACCGGAGTAATTGAAAGCACCTCTTTGAGCGTCACGAAGGCTTCATCCTGAGCAGCTTCCCATCCCCACGGTACCTTCGTCCTTGTCAATTCGAACAAGGGACTTGCTATTTTAGAGAAGTTGAGCACGATTTTACGGTAATAGCTGCACATACTGGGAAATGTACGGAGTTTTGCTACACTGGTGGACTTCGGGAACTCCTTTATCTTCACGACCTTGTCAGGGTCTACGTGTACTCCTTTTCCGTCGATCATGTGACCAAGAAATGCGACGTTTTCTTGAAGAAGTACGCAGTTCTGAGGCTTGAGCCGCAAGTTAGCCTCTAACAACGCGTCCATCACCATTTGTAGCACTTCATAGTGCCTACTTTCCGACGCAGTAGCAATAAGGATGTCGTCGATATAAACGAAAACTTCCTTATCCTTCAGCTCACGTAGCACCGTGTCCATCAGCCGTTGAAAAACAGCAGGCGACGTGGTTGAACCGAATGGAAGGACTGTAAATTGAAAGAGACTTTCTGAGGTTGTGAAGGCACTCTTTTCCTTTGCTGCGGCTGTAAGAGGAATCTGCCAATATCCCGATGCCATATCAAGCGTCGGAAGAATCGTTTCCCCTGCAAACTTTGCAGCATGGCATCAATTCCTTTCAACGGATAGGCGTCGTGCTTCGTGCATTTATTCAGTTGACGATAGTCAATGCATAACCGGAGAGTTCCGTCTTTCTTCCGCACAAGCACTACCGGCGACGCCCACTCAGATGTCGACCGCTCAATGATTCCTCGTTGGAGTAGACTGCTAAGAATATCCCTGAACTCATCACGAGCACCTATGGGGACAGGTCGCGTCTTTTGCCGAATAGGCTTAGTAGTCCCCGTGTCAATGTCATGAGCTACAAGAGAAGTCTGCGTCAACTCGCTATCCTCCACCGCGAAAACATGGTTCTTGTCCGTCACAATCTGTCGGAGTTGTGGCGATAGCGTCCTTCCATCTCTGTTTCGGATCAGCAACTTATTCAGGATCTCCAACCTTTCCCTCTCTGACATAGGTTCACCCTGGTTGCAGAGTAGATCCGTCGGTGCACGTCTACAGCGGGTATCGTTCCAGTAGGCATTTTCCCATTCGCTTACTTCCTGGCCTTTTTGTATCACCATGTGCTCTTGTGTAGTATTGACGACCTTTACTTTTGCCATGCCATTGGCACTTACTTCGCACAGACCATCAGGGATCCTTCCATCTTTTGTGTGAAGTATTGCCTCCGACCACTGCCTTCTACACGTGAGATCCACATCCTTGGTCTCACCAGGCGCTATGAAGACTCTCCGAGCAACAACAGCTGCAGGACATTCCTCTGACCCTTGTTGTCGCTCCATAGTTCGGTCTTCCTTCTCACAGGAGGTCCGCTACATCAATGTCTACCGCGGTCAAAAAGTTCATCACCCTTCCTGAAACGTCAGTGATCTTCAGCGACTTGGGCACTGGGATCCCCTTGACTACTGCATCGATGTCGATTCCGTCACTCATTGCCTCCTTGAGTACTCTCGACGGCAGAATCAATACTTCTGATCCCGTATCTAACAAAGCCTTTCTGTCTCTGCCAAGAACTTTCACCTCTATTGTTGATCGTTTGCCAAAGATTCACGGAGAAGACCTGCCGTGAAGTTGTACCTACTTGGTGCGGACATTACTATACTTCGCGCCACTATTCAACTATTACTACCCCAGTTTTGCGAAAACTGGCCGGATCTTGATCGACTTTTTTCCGCGGGGGTGGATTTGGCTGAAAGTTGGGTTTTAGGGGTAATTCGACCTCCTAAACACGAATATCACATCCACTTAGCCTGGAACTGCCTGGCGTCTGCGCCATAGGCGCCAGTGATTTGGTGACTATTGGCGCCGGCGCCCGTAGCGCGGACGCGGAGCGGTTTCAAGCCGAGGGAATGAGATATTCGTGATTAGGAGGTCAAACTACCCCTAGGTACAAGTTTTCAGCGGATTTCGTGATCTAGGGTACTTTGGCGCCGGCGCCTGTGGCGCGGGCGCCAGGCGTTTTCGACAGGAGCGGATGTGATATTCGTGTTCAGGAGGTCGAACTACCCCTAGAACCCAGTTTTCAGCGAATCGCACCCCCGCAGGAAAAAGTCGAGTTAAAAATCCGGCCGTTTCCGGAAATCTGGGGTAGTAATAGTTGAATAGTGCCCACTTCGCTTCACGAACTCGTACTGATAAAGACATAGGGCTTTTCGGTTCTCTAGCCGCTGCGCTCTTGCAGTCGCGTGCCTTGCGACCAGTCCCTTTGCATCGGAAGCATTTCATATTTTGTAGTTCCTTATTCGCTTTACTGTCCCGACTGGCTACGATCTCAGTCTTACAGTTTTCCTCTTTGAGTCCTTTGTAGGCCTCCTTCGTACTCCTCCTTTGAAAGCGTTTCCCTTTGGCCTTAATCCACGAGCTGTGCGGCGGCTTGCTCTTCGCACGGCTCTCGAGGGCTACGTGTCTTCTTTCAGCCCTCATAGCGGCATCTTTTAGCCTTTCATTCATATCGCCACCAGGTCCTTCCAGAGCTTCTTGCAGGCGACAGGAGTCATCCCAGTGAGACAACTGATCATTCAGATGGTCTGCGCGGATGACTGACAACGTCCTTTCGTCCAGCTCCGGATAAGCTCTACGCGAAAGCCTTTCTAACGACTGTGTTTCTGGTTTCTGAAGGCGCTTTAATTCACCTAGTGCGATAACCTATTTCGTGTCTCTTCATTACACATTTCTTTCATGGCATTTACTAATGTGTGGAAGTCGCGTTTTTTAGTTTTAGGCACGCTTCATATTGCGCTCTCGCCTTACCCGTTAACTTTGATTTGAACAAAGCGCAGCGTTCTTCATCTTCCCAATACTGTCCAGGGTATTTCAAATCGAAGGCTTCTACAAAGTTTTCAAACGAGTATTCTTTTTCTTTTCCAGAGTATGGTGAAACGTCAGGCAAGGCTACATATCTCAAATACTATCCCACCTTATCTGGGTCTTTACACTTGACTTCCTACGGTGTTTCCGCACTTCTCTTTCACTCATACTCTTACTATTTGAACTATTAAAATAGTCATGATTCATACCTGGATCCTTGCAGTTCCTCCTCGACGAACTGCTGAACCTCTCGCAACGGCAGCCCTTCTTTTTCTCCCGCATGTGCCAGCCACTCTGAAAGTGTTCATCAGACTCACTGAGATCGCTGGCAACATTGACACTACTAGTTTCAGGCATTACCCTACCTGGTGATGGATCATGCTGCCCTAGATGTCCGTCGCGGTCATGAGAGCCGTCGAGCTCGGCCAGTCGTCGTTTCTGCTTCTCGAGCTCTTCCTTAAGAGTTCGAATCTCATCATGCTTTTGTTTGCAAACTTCCTGCAAAGATGATACTGGACCGTTTGTTAGAACCGTTTCATTATCTATCAACCGTTCACACGACGCTCAACACCTATTTTATCACAGTTAAGCTTCCTAGCTAACATTCAGGGTACATTCGCCTATAACTAGCTGTTCTAGTCTATTGGCCACATCATCTTCGCTGCTCAAGCCAATATGCTCTTTGACTTTGTCTGAGGTAGCCAGAGCGCAAATGCGTTTCTCGATGGTTTCCTTCAGACGCTGCAACCTTTTCAAAATGCGCGATGTGTTCTGTTTTAGCACAGCCTGGATTTGGTCGCGCTTACTATCACCTAGGCGAAAATGTTTCGCAATTTCCGCTCCAACCATCACCCGCAAGCGGTTGACTCTCTCTATCGATTTGAGGCATATCTGCATCTCAATGCCTGAATCCGAATCAGAACTATGCGAGCTGGCCACGTTCTCCATTTCACCGGGCATCTGCTCGTGAGACTCTGTAACAAGATGGATATCGCCTGTCTCAAAGGCAGTATCACAATCTTTATGCGCTTCACGATCCATCAAACACGAATGCTGTTAAGTGTCTTGGCTTATCTTTCACTACCAACACACGGATCAACACGTCGGCTGGTTGGCGAGTAGCCAAGACACCACGGTATCAACGACCAATCGCTATCGCTGCTGAAACCTGGCACCCTTTTGCAGAGCCGTCAGGAGTATTTCTACCGACACCCAACTGGGAGCAGTCAGTAGAAGAAAAAAAAGGCAAGAGAAAATAAGAATACTCGAAAAGTCAAGCGACTGTCAAATTGGCTTTGGCCCCCAAGTTAAAAAAAATGTATGTATTGGGTGATGACCCCTGTTTCTTATTAACAGTCACAAGACTATACAAGTTTTATTACTCTTTTTACCAAAAATATAGCAGCAAGTAGAAATAACAGGGCAATAGAATAGCAGCAATGTACAGCGAACTTCAGAGGTTTGAGTATAAGTAGCAGGTAGACGAAAACGTGGCGACGGCAGCTCGGGAGTTGCAGGAGCGTTGTAGGAGATGGGGTTAAACGGCAGCTTGTTGACTCGGGAGACTCGAGACGAAGACTCTGACTTTCGAAATCCGACGGCCCCTTATATAGGCCGCTTTCGCACCCATATCGACGAGTGACTGCTTTGGCGCCCTCCTCGCGCTCTCCTCGATCCTCCCGCGCTCAATCACAATTTGACAAAGTAGAATGGTGGCGCATCCCAAAAGGGATTGATCAACGGCGGAGACCTTCTCCCCTTTTACCCTTCCAACATCTATGTCCTCAAACTGAGGTGAGCGCTATCTGGCGAAGAAGACATAAGCTCTTGCGAGCTCATGGAAACATGTGGCTCATTCTCGCCTTAACGCTTCGCTTCGCTTTCATATTCGCTTTCCAGAATTGCGATTATTAAGTGTGCTTTCTCGCACTCTAGAATGTGGTAAAAGCAGATGGTGTAACTGGTTTAGTCGAGTAAGGGTGTGTGCGCAGTATTTAACCAACTATGCATTAGTTTTTCGTTCTGGTTGTTCCCTTCTTTATAAACTTTCTGGTTGTTTCTTTTCTCTATAAACAAATCAGCACATGATACGTGCATATTGTGAAATGTAGCAGACTTTGGACTTTTACGGGGAACTTTTCTTATTCATGACTTTATGAGTGAAAGTGACGTGACTCTCAGGGGGATGGTATTGTCACTTGCAAGACACACAATCGGCGGGTGTATTCCTCGACTGGATAAGCACGTTCAAAAGAGCGTTCGTCCTTACCTACGTGGAGATTGAGCTAACCACAGTGAAGTCATGCGTGAGTTCGCGACGTCATAGTTAATTGACATGGGCACACCTTTTACTGTTTATCCCACTGGTTGAAATAGATGGGAGTGCTTGGATAGAATCCAGACAGAACGTATGTGAGAAAGCCGTAATCAAGAATAGTATACGAATGCAAGTGAAACGCAGCACGATCAATTTTTTGGTTACTATCGCCCCAAACTGTTTGTCAGAAGTGCCCTTCTAGTGCGCCAGGAACTGTTCTTTTCCAAGGGTCTCAGTATATTTTCATTACGTCTTCTACTCGGCCTTCTTGCACACATTTCTGCCGACCGAAAAATCCATTGTTAGCAATAAAATCATGCCACATATAATCCGATAGGTGAGTCTGTGTGTACACCTGTGTGCCCACAAAATTAGTAGCTTTGTTTTTTTGAAATGACATAGAGATGCTGGACGGGAACATCGTGGTGGCCGACAAGTCGCAATCTGATAGAATTTGCGAAGGCTCGTAGAAGACGAAGGTCACCTTCCACTGCGCGGCTCACAGAAACAAAGGGACGTAATTTCGAGGAAGTGGTGGTGGCACTGAGTGACAATAGATGATAACCGCGGATAAGGGCTGACAGGAGCGTCAAGAAAGAAGGGTCGCCAAATCAAAATTTGAACTTTCAATCCAAATAATAGCGCTTGTAACAGTTTTGTTAGGGCCGCAATTCAATTCGTCCTGACATAGGGGGTGGAACGGAAACATCGACGGTCAATAACTAGAAAATAATAAAAAAATGATAAAGGCGCCGGAGAAGCAATGCAACCGAAACGGCTCTGTTATCAGCCTCTTCGTAATCGAAGCACGACTCAATCCTATTTCTTAGCAATGGAAACATCCGGTCTGTAAACAGGACTTTACCACTGGTACTATAATTCTTCATTAACATCATTATTAATTACCAGTCGGATCACCCGGCTGCCGACGGGTGCTCCTCCTTCTTTGTCACGGCCCGGCTTCGCCGGGACGGCCTGGCTTCGCCAGGCGGGAATAGATTGAGGCAGTCTGTAGGGCGAGATAGAGTGGGCAAAATGCGTGTAACCGTCACAATGCATTTTCCAGCAAAATGTAAATCAATAACTGAAAATAGCTCGAGCAATGGGTTAAAGTTGGATCAATCTAGAGGGAGGATGCAACACTTAGCGCTTTCCTACTTCCGAAATTCTAATGCCACCAAAAGAAAGAAATACACTGCGCCTATAATGCTTGACGGTGAATCGGTAAAAAGTGGTAAGAAATGTGACGAAAATTGATTTTCACCAAAACTAATCATTGGTATGATTACTAACCGTCGACCGTTCAAAAACTTTGGAATTTGGTACTTCGAAAGCTCTAACACCTTGAACAACGATGACCGCAAGGCCTGTTATCAGACCCTATCAGTTGTTATGGCTTTTTGTCACCCACCGTTCCTGACCCCATTTCACACCCTATATCACCTGCTGGAACCAACGCTGACACTGCGACCCACGGTATGGAAACAGTGGCCTTATCTTTCTGACGCCCCTTATTCAATCTTATCAGACTCTGGCAGTTGTTGTCACCAAACTAGTGTTCCTTTCCTAAACCCTACATCGTATCTTGGAACCAACTTCCTTCTGTTGCTGTGACCCGCGTGATGGACTCGGTGACCATACCCTTCTAACATCCCTCAAATCTTATCAGCAGCTGACAGTTCTTGTCATCCACCAATAATGTTCCTTTCCCATACCCTACATCATATGTTAGAATCAGCACTCGGCTGATGCTGTGATCCGCATTACGAATATGGTGAGAGTCCCCTTCTGAGGCCTCTTATCAGATATTATCAACTGATATCACTTTCTATCACCCACCAATAGTGTTCCCGTCACACCCTCTACGTCACTTCTTGGAACAAATATCTCGCTGCTACTGGGACCGGCGCTATGAATTTGGTGTCAAAGAGACAGACGCGCACGCGGACATAGCCGATTATATATGGTAGGATTGTAATCGTTGTCCCGATGTAACGCTGAAATCTATGCTTTTGTCCATTCATTTCCCGGAGTTAGTACCAAAAATCTCCGTAACTCTCACACGAAAATTCAGCAACCTGTAAGAGTAGCCTTTGAAGCATCCTGCCGCTTGATGCGTTCTCCACCACTGTAGGTTTCTTTTTCTGGAATGCACTCCCGCATTCGGGCAGTTTAACGCTTAGAATGGTCCTCTCTCAGATTGTATGAAAGATAGTCATTAGTGATAAAGCCAGTTGCTGCTGTTCATGGCAACTGAGTAAACAACCGCCATGCTTCTGAAACCCAGTTGCTTTAGGGCCGTACATGATGTCGATAGGAGCATAAGAGTGAGTTCTGTACGAACTACTGAGAGCCTGATACCTGGATCATATCAATCGCATTGTGGCAGTAAGCGGTGTTACGGATTCCCGCATGATGACGCTTTCAACCCTTATCAGTTGCTGTCACTTACAAGGGAGGTGTTTCAGGTCATGACGCGCTTTTGGGCTGGTTTGTTGCTTGTTGTAGGGGTCCATACAAGGGTCACAAAAATGGGTTTCATTTTTGCTATGCGTTTCTGGGTAGGTCAAAAACGGAGTGAAAAGAATTTGACAAGAAAGGGCGGTTTCAACAACCTTAATGGGCTCTTTCTGCTTGTAACTTCGAGCATGCGTATTATGAGGTGGTCACCGATAAGGCCTCAAAAATAGGTTCGATTAAAGTTAAAATGTAAGTATCATGTGGTAACACACTTGGCATGCAGCGACGCAAGAGTGATGTTTTTTGTCAGCAAACCCTTCACCATCACTGCTATCGGATTGGATGGTGCAATGGATAACACGACGGGTTCTGGATGGCACGGCAAGGGGGCACTTCGTGGATCGGATTCTTCTCGCGAAAATGTTTTGCATTTTTTAGCTTTCCATTCATTCGCGTGTCTGTGTGTCTGGCAGTAGAAATAAGTCAAGTATATGCCATTTCAAGGCATATACAGGAGGGCCAAAAAAAGTCATTCCGGCCGAGTCACATATGAGCGAAGTTTTCGCAGCCCAGACAGAGGAGGTGGATATGAGTACCAGGTCGGAAGATACCCAAGATCTTCCTCTATAAGCAGGAGCCGGCTGCCGCCATTCACGTTCATGTACACCAAAATATGAAGTCATTTCCAGTCGCGGCCTGAGTGGAGAACGCCTTCGGAATTCACGTGGCCTCCAAACAGCTGCGGAACTTTTTGAATGGAATCACCCATGGATAGCTACCTGGAGACCAGTACTCTTGATCTGCAAGACCTCAAACATCGAGCAGCTCCGGCAACGCTACGGTCAAGGACATCATCTTCACCCCATTCACCAAGGCGCGGGTTGATGGCGTGGACCGGCCGTACCTGGAATGAATGAACCGATATTTTTTTCGTGGGCATTAGACTGAGGGTGTGCCTGGTGGCAACATCTAGCAACTCGAGGAGAATATCCCATCTTCATGTAGTCGCCCGTACCTTCTGGAAATTTGTACTGCTACAGGATTGGGTGACAACACATTTAATCGAAGGGGCGTTGGGAAAAAGTTTCGCCTACTTGGAATGGAAGACGTTGAGTACCTGGAAAAGATGGAGTATTTGAGCGGGGGTCCTGAACTAACCCCCTCAATTACTCGGTCCGGCGGAGCTCAACAGAGTGCTCTACAGTGGCGGAGAAATCAACGATCTCGCTCAAATCCGGTACCCACTCACTTTCGCGCGGCCGAA